ATGACAATCCTGCTACCTTACTGAGAGAAGCCATTCAGGTTATCAGTGCAGTAGAGTTCGATGAGATTGGATAGAAGTTGCGAGTATGCATGTTGTTTGTTGACTGATTTTTTTTGTTTTTTTTTCAGTTCTAGGATAATAATGGATCGTCGGTATCTATAGCCTCTGCGGGTCTTGAAGATAGTGGACTATATCAATCCTGTTATGTTACTGATAGAAGGCATTCAGGTTATCATTGTGGTAGAGTTTGATGGGATTGGATAGAAGCTGCGAGTATGTATGTCGTTTTGTTGATGGATTTTGTTTCTATTTTTTTTTTCATTTCTAGGGTAATACTGGATCCCAATTAAAAACTTTTTCATAGCAGCAGGCAACAACTTGGAGAAGAACCTGGTTGCCTTACTTGGCCTTAAGTCTATTATTACAAAGACGCCAGCAAGAAATAATAGATACCTCACTCACTCGAAGCTGTATATTGCAGCTACTGTTTGGCTAGCTTTTTGTCATACAATGAGTGTTTGGGGGTTTATTTGTTATTTTGACGTTTTATATTATGTCGGCTATTTTGGGAACTATTGGGGTTAAATCGGTTAGGTTAAGTCTTTGGGTAGTTATAGGGAATTAGTCGGTTTATATATATATTCTGTGTTAGGCATAAGCTAGGGTTAAGCAATAACAACAGAATTATTCCCTAAGCTCTCTCTCTCCCTCTCTCATAGCCGAATTCCCTTCTTCCCTCTCCAACTCGTCGGCCACCACCCCGGTGCCCGGAAATCCTCTTTCTCAACCCTAATTCCCAAATTCTACCTCATCCCAAATCCCTAATTCTCATACCAATCACGATCACCAATCACACACCTAGATCCGTGCTCTTTCAGTGGTATCAGAGCCTGGCTGGTGTGCCGATTCTCTGAAGAAATACTGCAGTCTGAAGATGTCGAACCCGGTGGACAAGCAACAGCCGCAGCGCCAGCTCAAGGAGGTGGTAACAGTCAAGGATGTGACAACGAACAAGTACGATGCGCTGGCAGCATCGTTGGAGAGCTTGACAGAGGTGACTGTGAGGGCAGCTGAGGCCTCTAGGGGTTCGATCGGAGCAATCGAAGCCATGGGTGACCAGATCAAGGCTTCTATTGAAGAGATGGGCAAGAGTGTGGCTGAAAACATCTGCGGAGCCTTGGCGGCGACAATGCAGGAGGTGCTAACCCAAGTTCTGAAGAACCGGGATCCGCTGGTAGCTCCGGCTACAGGGGCGGCGCAGGCAGCAGCGACCGGGCGGGAATGAAGCCAACGGCGGCAGCCGCAGCGGGCTCGGGGGCGCCGCGCGGCGACGCGGGAGTAGGGCAGACCGGGGCGCGGGCGCGCCGGGAGGAGACGGAGGCGGAGGCGAAGCCGTCGGGCAGCGGGGCCGAGGCCGGGACGGCGCAGGTGCTGGCCGCGTCGGATGGGGCGCCGGGAAACTCGGGCGCCAGGTCTGCAACCGCGCCGGTATTCAGTGGGCCTGGTCTGCTACCAACTCCAACGGACCTGGCCCAAGACAAGGCCCAGGGAAAGCAGAAAATGGCCGGGTACGAAGGAGAGCCATTGTCGTTTGGGCCTGACGAGAAGAACCCTGGCATGCGGAGGAGTTGAGTTTTGGCGAACCGGAAGGCTGGATGGGCCCGAGCTCAGAGGAGGCAAGATGAGGCTGGGTCGTGGGCTCGAAACCGGGCTGGGTACAGGGTGGCCAACCGGTCGGACCGAACCGAACCGGTCCAGGTCATCCGCAGACGGGCAGCAGCTGGTATGGACCGATCAGGGGTCTCGGTAAGGGCCCGAAGTACGGCTACCCCCCGTGGAGTACCCCGCGGACAGGAGGAGGGCGCGGTCGAGGTTGGCCGGAGATGGGGCAAGGGTCGGGGACCCAGCATGAGCACCAGGGAAACCATCAGGAGGTGACGGGCGACTGGCTCTATCCTCACCAGCAGCCAGCCGCGGGCAGTCACTATCAGCAAGGATCAAGGAAGCCGCCACTCCCACCGAATACAGGCAAGTACGAGTACCATAACCCTCTGTATGAGAATGAAGAGGAATTGGTATTTAGAGCTAAACCGCCCGTGATAGAGTTTCCCAAATTCGACGGCTCGGGAGATGTGGGTTTGTGGTTGTATGCAGCTGAGAGGTGGTTCAGAAACCACCCGATCCGAGAAGAGAGGAAGGCGCACCTGGCATCTTTCTATCTCGAGGGGGATGCGCTCTAGTGGTGGGAATGGACCGAGTGGGCCTATGCAGCAGCAGGTGAGTTCATCTCGTGGCCCACGTTCCAGGATGAGCTACGCTACCAGTTTGGCAAGGGGGAGGGGTGGGCCCCGAAGCAGCTGGCCAAACTCAGGCAGACAGGGTCGGTGGCAGAGTATCGTGCAGAGTTCCTTAAACTGGGAAACCAGTGCAAGGAAATGACGGAGGAGACCCTGGTGGGATTGTGTATGGCGGGACTCCGGCCAGAGCTGGCCACCGCCGTGAAGGTTTTCGAACCTGACTCTCTTCGAGTTGCTTTCAGGATTGCAGGGCGCAAGGAAGAGGAGCTGGCTAGTTGGAGGACGTCGGCTGGGCGTATCCAGAAGGCCAGTGGAGGAGTGGGAGCAGGAGCTGGTACCTCACCGCCGACGGGAAATGCAAGCCCGGCGGCCACCGGCGCAACAGCAGCGAGCAGATTCCAGTCGAGGCTGCCACCAAAGGGGTTTGTCCGGCTAACGCAGGCAGAAATGGACCAGAAGCGCAGAGACGGACGTTGCTTCAACTGCGACGAAAGGTATACAGTGGGGCATCAGTGCGCCAAGGGTCATCTCATGCTGCTGGTGGGGAACTGGGCAGACGAAGGAGAGGAAATGGAGGCGCGAGAAGCGGAAGAGAAGAAGGAAGAGAAGAAAGATGGTCCACCTTGAGGGCAAGGTGGATTCCAAGGGGGATGGAATGTCAGACAATGAGTGTTTGGGGGTTTATTTGTTATTTTGACGTTTTATATTATGTCGGCTATTTTGGGAACTATTGGGGTTAAATCGGTTAGGTTAAGTCTTTGGGTAGTTATAGAGAATTAGTCGGTTTATATATATATTCTGTGTTAGGCATAAGCTAGGGTTAAGCAATAACAACAGAATTATTCCCTAAGCTCTCTCTCTCCCTCTCTCATAGCCGAATTCCCTTCTTCCCTCTCCAACTCGTCGGCCACCACCCCGGTGCCCGGAAATCCTCTTTCTCAACCCTAATTCCCAAATTCTACCTCATCCCAAATCCCTAATTCTCATACCAATCACGATCACCAATCGCACACCTAGATCCGTGCTCTTTCACTTTTGTTTGAGCTATTCTTTTGCTTTTACCTGGTGGCAGGGTTCAAGAAGGCGTGCCTAGGCGTACGCCTAGGCTCAATTAGGCGCTAGGCGGTAGATGATTGCCTTGACTTGGCCATAGGCGTTGTAAAAGGCGCTGGTAGCTCTTAGTAGGTAGGAATAGCGCTTAGTTTGCGCCTAGTGGAGAGAAGGCGTGCCTGGGCGAGCTTAGGCGGTTAAACCCAATACTCTTCGTTTTGTCCTAGAAAATCAGAAACTTGCCTCTTGCCCTAGAAAATCAGAAACACGGAAAATCAGTAACATCTGCTGCCGCCTGCCGCCCTAGATCTTGCCCCATCTGCTACCGCCTACCGCCCTAGCTCTCGCCCCATTTGCTGCTCTCTGCCGCCGCAGGAGAAAGTCATCGATCACTCTTCTCGCCTTCACACAACTCCGCTGCTATAGTGGGAAATAAAGTCGAAACTCGTCAATTGCTGCTCCTTCCTTCTCCTCGGTACGTAGCACAAGCTTCTTGCCTCTATAAGCACCTATTAGCAGATGATTGGTCACTATTTGCTTGTTATTTGTTATGTTAAGTGTTTACTGTTAAGAACTAGGCATTGCTAATTTTATATACACTTGGATTATATGAATTATTCCAGAAAACAGGAAATATTTGGGAATTTTTCCATTTATGCTCTGAACGTCTAGGTGCGCCTAGGCTACGCCTAATCGGGCAAGGCGCAAGTCAGGAGCCGAGCGCCTGCCTTACGCCTAGCGCCTTTTAGAACCTTGCCTGGTGGCTCTTTTGAAGTAATGCTGCTTGCTCATGTTGATGCAAATATATGTTTTTTCTGCAAAGTTAGTTGTAGTCTTCCGTATACAGGTTCTTTCTGCAAATTTGCTAACTCCAGATAGTTTCTGTTTTCCTCTATGCTCTGCTTAATTCAGCTTAAGTTTTTGACATAAATGTTCTTATAATTTCATTTGGTTTATGTGTGGGATGTAGTCATTGATGTTGCAACAATTACTGGTATGTGTTGCAGCCAATTATGTGCAGGTAAGTATTTGGTTGTTAGCAAGTTAGCACAAAAGAAATGCTGCCAAGGGCTCAAAATCATGAGATACAAACATACTGCTTGCTTTCACACATGTTTAGAAAGTTGTCTTTATAGTCAGAAACCTTCTCTTCCAAATTTTTGTCCTTAGGTGCTGCTGCACTTTTTTGCCTGCTGCTGTAATGCTGCTTCTGCAATGTTTTTATGTTGCTGGTGTATTCTAACATTTTCGCTGCATGCTTATTGATTTGAGTGTCTATGAATCTCGGTAGGATGCAAGTGCAGTGGTTGATATGAAGAGTAATCTCTTGGCGAATTAATGGGGGCTGCAATGACTTAAGATGAGGTCATCAGTCATCACCATATGCGATATGCTTACCTTTGTCATCGAGACCCAGTAGAACCCTCCTGTCCTTTTGTGATGTCAAGATCATCTTATGTTGTTGGGACTCTATTTCCATAACATATTTTGCTTCAATATGTGTTTGTTGACCATGCATATGTTTTGTAATTTCACTTTCAGTATCTGGACCTCACGTTGCTTAGAAAATGATCTGTTTTGTGCCTCCGCCCTCGCTTCTATCATCCCATTCTATCGTTATAGTTTTGCTGCTTACAAATTAATCACCCCACCCCCAACCTTGTTTAGTTATTGGCAAACAGATACGTGAACAGAATGTCAGAGAATATTAAACTGAAAGGAGACTATAGAACTCAACATAAAATCGGGGCCATCGCCAAGAATACAACATACAACGATCCCTGTTTGCCATCAGCCATTACCTAAACTGCCCATCAAAGGATCATGTTGTTGCAAACTTTGGTTCCTGCGGGGTAGCCGCGGGTATTGATTCTAGTTCTACTAATAAAAATTGGGTCCAAAACTCTCATTATCCGAATTCCTAATCCAAAGTGAGTTAGGCTTTCAGAGGTTGCAAGACTTCATCAATGAATTGCTGGGTAAGTGCACTTGGAAGCCCCATGACAGTGTCCGTATTTCCGATCTGCAAGCAAAAGACACCCAAGTTACATTAACAAGAATCACTGAAGGACAGATTTTGGCAATGCAAGTTTCTCTGTATACTAAAACCCACAAGAAAGCTGAAAGGGAAAAGTAAAAGGCGAACCACTGCTTCAACAAAGGGCAATGTTAATGGATGTTCCAGCATCAGACCTCCAGCCACTTTGAAAGTTATTCCTTCCTCGATCTTCACAACATCATTACTTGGTCAATGATTGAGCTAAAAGAGAACAAGTAAATCAGGAGGGAGATATGAGTCCATGCCCGAATTGCTTACCAAGCTATCGATGATTTCGTCGGGTATCTCATGGAAATATACCTCTGCTCTCTCCCAAGTGACCCTTCTTGAACCTGTATTGAGATTGGTTACAAGTATAGATCCTACAACTGCAGCGTGACCACCGGAATAGCCTGCAAGCAACAGCAAACTCAATGCCAGATGAATATCAGAGATGGGCTGGCTCATTAGAGAACTCGGTAAGCAACCTTTTATGAATTCCCGTGCTTCGTCCTCACTGGTCGGCTTCTCTCTCACCACTCCTTTATATACCACCACCTGAAGTCCACATAGAACTTACAATATACAAACTAGGAAATATGACCACTTATCAAACAGTGATGAATTCATAAAACCAGTTAATCCGTCCAAGTAATGAATGAGGACCCCAATGATCATTGCTCAACTCAACCAATTCCGATCAATGCTGCATCACTGTGATTATTGAACTAGTATCTTACGGCATTTATTTATGGGATACTGCAAATCAGGTTCTTTAAGTTCTACTCGAATACGTCGAATGAAAATTTGAAGCTGGTGAGATTGATGGAGTGTTCGTGTCTCAGTCGGAAATTAGATTGCCCTAATGAAAACAGTTCAGTTGTTTCTCCATTGATTCGTAGCTTAGGACAGTGAATATGAATGTCTATGAACGACACATAACAGAAACTGAGAAATTGGCTATGAATTCAATCATACCGTATCTGCAGTAATCAACAATGTCATATCAGTATCTTTCTGCAGTTGACCTGTGTTCAGAAGTCTTGCTATGATGGCATCTGCCTAGGAAAAAGCCCCAGATAAGAACACCATATCGACAAACGGAACTTCAAAGCAGAATCACAAGGTCAGCTAATGGAACCCATCCCAGTTTTGCCGTAACTGCCATAGAATCAGCATCTACTATGAACAGACAAATTAAAGGCACCTGAAAGGGAAGTCATACCTTAGCTTCAGCTAGAGCCATCACCAATTCTTCCGGCTTGTCTTTCCTTATACTTCTCTCATCAATATCTGCAGTCTAAAATCCCCAAATTCTCAGTCAATTCTTCCACAGAAAATCACAGGAACTCTTCCCGTTGCGGAAGAGGAATAAGAACACACCATGACTCTAAATTCATAACCCATCTCAGCTAGAATCCGTCGCCGAGCAGTTGACGCCGAACCCAAAATTATCTGTCACAAATTATCACGACCCACTGTAAGTAAAATTGAGAATGTCTCTCAAATGTGTAAGAACTCCACCTTTCCCCATTATTTCCGGGATTCTGTGGGAGGTCGCACGACACTGAACCAATTCCAACGTCCAGAGAATGAATCTCAAATTTTTGGCATATAAAACATAAAAACAATGCATCTCAATCAGAAGAACCTGAAACGAAGGTTTCGACATTGATGCCGTCGCCACGTCTAGCTTCGCACCAATGGCTCTGCGTGGGGGAGACGCCCTGCCTCTGTTCGCTGTGCGTGGGGGAGAAATGAAAGAAGTTATGCCCCTTTAACACTATCTACCAGTTACTCAGTTAGTGATTAAAATTCATTTTATATTAAGGAAGAATAAGTCCTCTATTTTAATGAATGGTGACATATCAGTACTTCAAATTTAATTTTCAACACCAAAGGACACACATGAGCCTCTTTATAAGAGTAAATTTATCATATAGTTGGCAGGGTATATGTATTTTTTTTTAAAATACTGATTATTAGTAAAATATTCTTTGCATTTTATTTTATTAGGCAAATATATTGAATTATAATTTTCCGCTAACAATTTTATTGGTAATATTGATTTGGAAATATGATATTGATTTCGAGAGATACATGGAGTTCAACATCCAAAAACTTGAGTATTTTAACTAAGAAAAGAGTTATAAAATCATTAACGATAACAAAAAATGACTAATTTTTTGATACACTACAAAATATTTGACTAATTATTGACAATTCAATAGGTTTGGCTAATATATTAATTTCTCCAATTTTTTCCTTTGACGACTTAAGCTTAGTTTGATGATTTTCAATTGTGTAAATTGCAAGGTTGGTCACTGAAAGTTCTAAAAATTCATGTTTGGTTACTAAAAGTATTTTATTCCTTTCCTAGTCATTGAAAGTGGTTAAACATTTCACGTTTGGTCACTCTCCGTTAACATAGTCAGTTTTTTGCTGATGTGGCTAACGGAAGTGTCAGTCAGCATATTTTAACCCAAAAAAATTTATACTCAACCCGCTACATCATCAAAACTAACTCAACCCATAAACTCAACCTATGACCCGACCCGTAACCCACTCCCCTTTATTCTCTGCTGAACGAAACGCCGACCGCTCCCCTCAATTAGCCAGTCCCCTACTCCTTTAACATCGGTACCTCCTTCTCTCTCTCTCTCTCTCTCTCTCTCTCTCTCTCTCTCTCTCTCTCTCTCTCTCTCTCACTCACTCACTCTCACTCTCACTCTCGCATAGGCTCCGTCAAATCAACGATGAGAGCTTCCACCACCTCTGTCGCTTTCTCATTCAAAGTCATCGTCGCTTTCTCAATAAGCGCTTTTGTCACAGACCGTGGTAGATCTAACATTTAATAGAGTGAAAACCAGTAGTTGAGTGAGAAGTGACTCCCACTGATTTCGGATCTGTTCACTTTTCTGCACGCAGCAACAGCCGCCATCGCTGTCGCCTTGAGACCCTTCTGCTTCCTCTGTGTTCTTCGTCGGCTGCTCCGTCGGAATCGAACAACCTCCATTACCGAGCCATAGCTTGGAATCGGAGTTGAAGTCAATGGAACTCTCGGCAGGAAAATATTCAAGCGAGCGCTCTTGCCAATTTCCTTTGCGATTGGGGAGCCATTGGCCGGAGGCGAGTCCGGGATTGGGAGAGAGAGGTCGAAGGAGGTACTGATGTTTAAAGAGTTGGGGACTGACCGGCCAAGGGGAGCAGTCGACGCTTCGTTCAGCAGAGAAGAAAGGGGAGTGGATTACGGTCGGATCACGGGTTGAGGTTATAGGTTGGGTTGGTTTTGATGATGTGGTGGGCTGAGTATAAACTTTTTGGGGTTAAAATATGCTGATTAGGCACTTTTGTTAGTCACATCAGCAAAAAACTGACAGTGTTAATGGAGGCTAACAAAGAGTGACCAAACGTGAAACGTTAACCACTTTCATTGACCACAAATGGAATAAAATAATTTTAGTGACCAAACATTAAATTTCCAAAGCTTTTTTTTTTGTTAAAAGACAGACGCCGAGCGTCTAATTCATATTAATAATAGAACTCTCATGGGAAATTCCCAGTACATCATGGTTGATCCATTTGATCAAATCCCTATCACACACATTGAAATGATGTGTGCCAAAATCAAAATCATGAGCCTTGTTAGCCAAGTAATCGGCCGCGTAATTCGCTTCTCTATACACGTGGGAAACTCTAACCTCCCATTTATTGATCCAAAATGTAGCTCAAATGCTTGGCAGTGGTACCATGGCGATGCACATCATCATTTATGTGTTCAATGATGTTAATGGCAGTAGTGGAATCGCTATGGAGAATGATCTTCTTGTAGCCTGCCTTCCACGCAATCTTCAGACCCTCCAGGGTTGCTCGCAGTTCTGCAGCTGTGATTGAGCATCGTCCAAAAATTACACACATAGGCTCCCAGACATCTACCTAAGTGATACCTGAACAACCCTCCTGTTGCTGCTCTCCCACTTGGCGCTCGTACAGAACCATCTGATTGCAGTTGGATCCACCCTTCATCTGGCGGTTTACATCCCACATTACAGGATAGTTTCTTGTTTTGTACCAGGCCTGAGGTCTTCTGTAGGCAGGCTTGATTCACAATGTTAAATCATGCCTTGATTCTTGTTGTGACACTCTCTTTCATAAAAGTACGCCCTTCCATTACCTCATCATTCCTTTGTTTCCAAAGTTACCAGCAAATGATCCCAAACTCTGTAGTTGTTTCTTCAAATCTGGTATTGTGCATCAGCCATTCATTGAAGTTCAGGTTACTGTTTTTGGTAGAATCCTTGCTCTGAAAGATCTCCCAAATGGTCTTGGCTTTTTTGCACTTCTTGAGGATGTGCTCCATCGTTTCTGCTTCTTCTTTGTAGTGGTTGCACAGGTTGCAAGTTGTCAACTTCCTTCTCTCCCTCTCTTTGTTGGTGTGGAGGCGATCATGGGTTGCCAGCCATAGGAAGTGTTTTATCCTACTTTCCCCCCTCCATTTCCAAATTTCTTTCCATTTGCCATTCTCCTCCTGCTCCTCCATTTCAGCTACAAGACTGTATGCTGATTTTAGGCTGAAGCTTCCATCCTTTTCTAAGCCCCAGATAGTAACATCCTCTCCCAGCTCAGAGTCAGGTGCATCAGTTCCTGCAATGGTCAAGACCACATCATTAGGGAGGTATTGACCAAGTTTGATCCAGTCCCACTTACCCTCCTCTGTGACCTAGTCAGCAACAACAGAATCCAGGTCCTTTTCATTGATGTCGACAGTGGCAAGGGCAGCAAGAATTGTGTTGTTATCAACCCAAGGTTGCTTCCAGAAGAGAGTACTCTTCCCATCCCTGATGCTCCAACATGTGGCCTCTTTCATCAGCCTCATTCCTCTAACAATGGCTTTCCACAGATTAGAGTGGTTGCTCTTCTTCATTGTAGTAATATCACCCCCCTGATGCTTGAGATATTTCCCCTGCAGGACCTGAACCCAAAGATCAGAAGCATTATTAAGCATATGCCACCCTAGTTTGATCATGTAAACCATGTTCATATGTCTAGCAGATTTAAGTCCTAAGCCCCCTTGACTCTTTGGTTTACATATATTCTCCCAGGCAATAAGATGAGTTTTCCTTTTACCCTCAATAGAACCCCAAACAAAGGATCTAACCTTCTTATCAATAGCATCACAGATAGATACTAGGAGATAGATGGTTTGCATAGCATAGGTAGGAAGTGCATTAAGAACAGACACAACCAAAGTGACTCTACCAGCCAAGGAAAGAGTTCTGGCTTTTCATCTGGTGAGTTTCTGGTCAATCCTGTCAAGTATGAACTTGTAAGTGTTCTTAGTGATTCTGCCATGTAACACAGGAACACCAAGGTATCTGCCTAAGTCTGAGGTAGCCTGGATTCCTAGTCTATTGCAAATATCACTCTTATCCTTGTTCTTAACATTCCTAGAGAAAAAAACCCTAGACTTCTCTTTACTAATCATTTCACTAGAAGCCAAGCAGAAGTTGTTGAGACAGTTCATAACAACATCAACTTGAGCAGTGTTGGCTTCAACAAATAGGACAAGGTCATCAGCAAAGAAGAGGTGGGAGAGAGCATGACCCCCTAGGGAAAGCCTAATCGGGTTCCATCTATGGTTCTTAACTTCACTCCCAATACAGTGACTCAGTCTCTCAACACAAAGAGTAAAAAGATAGGGAGAGAGAGGGCATCTCTCTCTGAGGCCCCTTGATTGTGTGAAGCTGTCAGTTTCACCTCCATTCCAAAGCATTTGGTATCTTGTACAGGTCACACACTCCATAATCCACTTAATCCATTCATCAGGGATTCTGGCAGCCTTGAGGATTTCATGAAGGAAGTCCCACCCAATTCTGTCATAGGCCTTGGCTAGGTCCACTTTGAGGACCATGTACCCCTTTTTGTCACTTTTCCGAGCCATGGAGTGACTGGTTTCCTGCATGATAATTATATTATCATTGATATGTCTCTTAGCGATGAAACTGGACTGGTTTTTGTTTACCAAATGGGCCATGAGAGGTTTCAGTCGATTAGCAATCAGTTTAGCAATGACTTTATACCCAACATTACAGAAGCTTATGGGTCTGAACTGGCTCATAGAGGTTGGGCTATCCACTTTGGGGATCAGGGTAATCAGAGTATCATTCAACAACCTAATTCTGTTGGGACAACGGAAACAAGAAATAATGAAATCAGCAAAATCCCTCCCTACAATGTCCCAGCATTTCTGGTAGAAGATGGCTTGGAATCCATCCTTACCAAGGGCTTTGAGCCCATTCATATCCTCAATGACAAGTCTAACATTCTCAACATTGGGCAAGGAAGAAAGCTTGGCAAGCAAGTTATCATCAATAGGAGGGAAATCAGCATGAATAGAGCAGTTCAAATTCAACGAAGACATGGTGAATAAGTGAAGAAAATACTCCCTGGCCATGATGAGGAGAGTATCAGCATCACTGATCCAGTCTCCTTGGTCATTTATGAATCCAATGCATCTCCTCTTGCCAAAGAGTATCCTCTAGCTCTTCCCTAGTCCTTTGCTCCTGGTTGAGGGAGTTAGTGGTTGACCGTCTCTCATTGAGGGCTTCCAGGGACTTGAGCTCATTCAAAAGTCTTCTTTTCCTCTGAAAAATGTTTCATAGACCTCTTTGTTCCATTTCTGGATCTGAGATGAGAACATCCTTAGGGATGTAGGGAAGTCTTCACCTCTCCTCCAGGTAGAGCACAGGCAGTCAGGAAAGTTTTAATGTGCTAGCCAGAAGGCTAGAAATT